GCACACAAGTCTAGGCAAGCAGCAGCTACATCACGGTACGGCAAAGTCGCACAACGAAGAGAAGGCGCTTCCCCTACTGTCTGGTCCGGGGAACACGCTGCCTCCATCTTCGGAGTAAAAGTGAATTCTCCGTGCGGCTTGTTTCTTGCTTGGCTTACTCTTCGACCCTAAACATGGAGGAAGTACGTTTCTCCGAAACGTCGGGAGCGCTATATCTCAGATTGTACTCTTCATAGTCGCCCCTCTGAAATTGTGCTCGCCCTCTCATCACAGGAGGACAGTATCCGTAGCAAAGGGAAGCGGAGAGACGTTCAGCACATGGGAAACACGAGTAGACTGCAGAACAAGGCAGAGAAACCCCTGCGGTGCTTACAGTGTGCACGTGATCTCTCGGAGGGTGCGTTGCGCCTTGCGGAAGCACAGCGATTGTGGTTCTCATTGCTTCACGAACATGCAGTGTAGCAGCTTTCTAATGGTGACGTAACGAACTACGTCACAATCTGATGACACGCCCCCAAAGACGTTCTTCACCCCCACAATATCAAAATGGATTCACCTGGCTCCGGATAGGGTTCAACAGTGGCTGTTTATGAACACGGTAAGGGGTGGGAAATATCATGACCATATGATCGATTTCTGGTTTCTCGCACGGCGACATGACAGTGACACAAGCTGCATTCTTGTCACCAGCTTCCGCGAGGCGCGCATGCGCCACTTCGGACGCCCATCTACAGACAAGCTCGCTAATCCGGTTACAGTTGACCCGCATGTCGGATAATCCGGAACGAAATATGAAACACCCTGTTCACAGTTGAGTGCTTAGCTAATTAGGCACTGCGCCATGAACACGTATTGGGGAGTGGATGTATAGATCCACGTGTTCTTGACTTAGGCACTACTTCACGTCCCGGCCGCTATACCCTCGGGGGAAGGACCCCCGGTACCCATCGGATAGGAGACTGGGTGGGCCCGAGAACCTGTCTGGACGACGTGGAGAAAATTCTTGATCCTACCCGGGCTCGAGCTCCGACCCCTCGGCCGTCCAGCCCTAGCCAGTCGCTATACCGGTTCACAGCTGAGTACATGCTTTAAAAGACGCATGGCTTTTAGGCAGGTAAATGAGTTACTTGTCTGTTCAGACGGTTTCTTAAAACCTGCATTATGACGTTCAAAAACATGTAAAACTTCTAGGTCTTGTATCGATGAATAAATGTACTGTCTTTTTATAGTTTGTGAATGAAGGCTCTACGGTGATATTTGTTGCTTATATCAGCACTGCTCATTAAATTTTCCATTTATTTGTGTTTTAAGTTTTTTAGGGCTATCTTTTGCTTCACTAATCCGGATTATCGCTTCTCCCCCCACAATTACTCCGGATTTGAGAGGGTTTCCTCTACTATACTCGTCGTGTGTTCATGTGTTTCAGTTAGCAAGTGCAACCTGACCCCTGTGTTCAACTCACAAACAGGTTTCACTTTGCATATGAATATCAGGCCGCAGAACGTGACATCTGACTGCTCCCTCCGTGACACTACCCTCAAGCAGATGAAGACAGCCAGGCTGAACCACCCCTTATTTCTGCAGAGCTATGCGTTCATAGCACCTTAAAGTAGGCCACGACAGTTCCCTATCCACGCCAACTTCAGTACAGTTCTCCATCTGAAAATGTCCCAGTCCACGAGTTCAGGCCCTGGTCTGCTGAACTGTGACACCGTGAAGTCTTGCAGAGCAACACACTGCGAAGACAACACGTACACGCGAAACATCCGGGTATACGAAACCAGCCTACAGCCTAACAATAGTCCTCTGTCCATTAGCCCTTCTATTACGCGCTCTAAGGGGGACGGGGGATATCGAGGGTTATTTTGGGCCTAAGGCAAGTGACACGAGGATGCGCAGAACTGCATAGTGGGGAGGAGAGTCACGAAATATTAGGACGGCCAATGGGCACAACATGTAGCACACATGGGGGCACAGAGAAACGCACACAGAAGTTTAATTGGAAAAGGAGACGGGAATGGGGCCATTTTGGTGACAGGCGTACAAAGGATGATAATATTAAAGTATATCTTAAGGGAAAACGGTATGAGGATCCGGACTGGATTCATCTGGCTCAGGATAAAGTCCTGTGGTTATTTAACACCGGAATCAAAATACGGTGAACTTCTTGACCAACTGAGCGACTGTCAGCCACGAAGGGCTCTGCTGCAGGCAGTTATGGTCTAAACCTGATGTTTTCAGGCTCGGTAGTATATCCGTGCTGTGCTCTCAGCACGTGACTTCCTTCTTATGGAGTTACGAGTATCAGGAGTGACCCACACCTCCTGCAGGGCAAGTCGGTAGACTCGGCCAAACCCGTCAAGCCTTCCTTCCCAACTCGCAGAATCCTGCTTGAAAAGCTGATGCCTCCTCAGCTATTCAGGATGTAAACCCGAAGGTTCAGCACCGCGTTCACAACAGCCCTCCACAGGTTCACATCCAGAGCCACATCGTCCCAACCAATTAGTTTACTACCCATTTTAATATTATCCTCCAATCTAAACCTAGGTCTTCAAACTCTTTTCTTCAGCGCAAAAATGTAAAGTTGTCCCCGTGCTTAACTAACTGTGCCATGAAGACGTATGGGGGAGGGGATGTATAGATCCACGTATTCTTGACCTCGGTACTAGCCGCTTTACCCCCGGTTGCTATTGGATTGGTTCTCTTTTCTTCAGAGTTTCCTAACCAAACTTGACACGCAAATCTCCTCTTCCATGCGTGCTGTTGTCTGTTCCATCCCACCCTCCTTGCTATGTTCTGTATGTAGCGAGAAAAGCAAAATTGTGCAAGCAGCTCTTGCCTGCTCTCCAGAACACAAACACCGTGTGAAACAGTCATCACAGAGACCGTAGCGTCCGAGCATAAAGCAAACCAGACCGACACGCGAAGGGCAGTTTGTTGGCACTTTGGGCTCTCATGGAAAGGCCACGCATAGCTCCGTACTTTCACGTACTCTTCTACCGTAAATGTGGAGGCAGCACGTTTCTCCGAAACGTCGGGAAACTTCCCGGACAACATGGTTTGACATCCAAGAAGGATAAACTTTTAACTGAGCACGCGCTCCCTGTTGATCCGCTTCGAGAGTGGCGATCCAGGGTTCAGATCTCGTCTTGGGGCATAGAGACCTAGGCTTAACTTGCTGTGCCCCTGTCGTGGTGACAATCCCCCGCCCGCAGGCCTCCTCAGAACATCCCCACGCTGTCCGGTCCGGTTCCTCACTGCGCATTTCAGAGCAAAACAACACACAAACCGTCGGGTCTGAGGTTCTCACGTCAGTGTCTATGCGGAGCGCCCGACGTTTCGAACATAACGCCTCAACTTTCAGAGCAAACCATGCATGATACGGCGCGCTGCTGGAGCAGTATCAGCCCCGAAGTAGCTTCATAACCTGCACCCCTCGCCGAATACGATGACCTTAGGGTAAGATATTACTGGCAAAACCGGGGAGGCCGCTTGGAAACCCCCGGTGTGGATGGGAGGATAATATTAAAAACCAATTTAAATATAGTGTGACAGACAGCGTGGACTGGATTCAGTTGGTTGAGGTTACGGTGCAGTAGCAGCACAGGTTCCGTTAAAGAAGGGAGTTCCTGGTAACGCCAAAGCGACTGTCAAGTTTGACATCCATGGAACTCGATACGAAGCTGAAAAGCCTGATCAGCAAACTGACAGTTTTATCTCTATTTCGTGATTATCAGCAAATTAAACTTACAGTTTTATCTCTGATATCATAATTAGCAACTTGACAGTTTTATCTATATTTCGTGATTATCAGCAAATTAAACTTAAAGTTTTATCTCTGATTTCGTAACCAGGAACAATAAGAGGTTCTTTCCAGTTCAACGCCACTTTCTTTTGTTCTTATTTTAAACGAAGATTACCCGTTAAGAGCACACCCGAGTTAATTATCAGAAACTCTGCACTTCGCCCTCACAGGGCGTTTCTGCATTTCTTATGATTCTCACAACAAACAGCGACTGTTTCCCTATACAACATTAACTGGATGGTCTTCGTAATGAGGACACGGTGTTTTCTGTGAGGTATCAATCGATTTTGTATATATTCACTAGACTATCTGGTTTGCTGAAGAATCCTCGTGTTCTGACTAACAAAAACCCGAGGTAATGTATTTATGTGAGACACCGTACTGATGCCTCGTGGCAATTGTACTGCCAGTTCCGGCTGCCATGAGGCTCCGCAGGGATACCTGCGCTCACGCATCTCACACCACATGTCTGTTTCTATTTCTGGGGTCGCCAGAGCAACACTGCCTGCGCGACGTCGGGCAAGTCTAAAGACACTACCGAGTCCAAACGTTAAGGCCCCCCATACACACACAGTTTGGCCTGCCGATCGACCTGCAGGTAGAACTGACGGACTGGCGGGTTTCCAAACGATTGGCCGGCCGGCCAGTTTTGCCTTTTAGCCTTGAACTGTGCACGCCGAACGGGAGGCCAAACTGTGTGTGTATGGGGGGCCTAAGAAGAGAAGAGGCCGCACCGCTTTATTCAAGCCGCAGGAGGGAGGCCTTGAAGCTTTCTGGAGGGAGTTGTGGGGTCATGCAAGGGCTTTGACGTAAAGCAATTACTCCCAGTTTCCCCTGGCATAATTAAGCACCCTGCCAGACACGCAAGAGTAAATGTGTTACTCCAGGGATTATTAACCTCGACACTATAGGGAAAGAGCCACCCGGAAGTCATGAATGGGACACTGGGTGGGCCCTGGGCCGGGCTGGTCGTTGTGGAGAAAATATAAATTTCTGCTCCTACAGGAAATCGAACCTAGATTCGTACCTATACCGGCTCCAAAATGAGAGTGATCATCATTCCAGAGAAGCTCAAGAGAAACAGCACAGTCAGCTCCACTACATGAACCAGAGAACGCTGGGACGAGAGGAAACTGCACCCTCTGCTCGCCACCACAGGCGATTTTATCCCAGTTGTTTCAGTGCTTGGATTTACCTCGTGACGACGACGTCCAAGTCTAAGTACGTCCCTCCGTACTTCCAGAGCGTCAGGAAGCGCAGGGCGTCGCTAGCGTGGGACCTGGGCCATCTGCTGGCTTTCAGAGCCCCACCCTTGTACCATTCTTGCAGCGGCGAACCCATGAAATATCTCTCGAAATTAAGGTGCCTTATATGAACATTTGGATACGATAACAACTGAGTTAGGACCTTGTTCTTCGCCGTGGAATTTCCTAAATGAATGGGAGAAGTGAACAATAAATACACTTCCAAGTCGGGGTTCATTTTGGCAGCTGATTCAACTGCGCACGCTTGTCTCGCAGTCAACACAATTTCACCGTGCACACTCGAAGCACAAGATGTTTCGTGAAAAAAAATACACTTTCCTCTCGGTGGCGAAGGAGACGCAGAAGAGCTGATTTCGTCTACGGTATTGCTACCTTCATCATCGTAACAGGAGATGCCGTTACCGTTGGCGTCACTCATGTTACCGACACCCCCCAACGATAAGATGGGCGCCGCGACGCGGTAAAGTAAACCGCCAGCGTTGCCACCCCCAGCGTCTTCATTCATTATCCACAACGTAATGAGGATCAGCGCACACGTTAAAACAAAACAAAAGGTGATGTTGTACCGTCGCATTATCCGTTTCATAATAGCCGTACGGCGTGTGTTTTGAGGGGCACCCTCCTTTGAAGAAACGGCTGTTGCTCCAATTTGTGTCATTACATTTTGGGGGTTGAGTCAATGTGTCGGTAACACTAAAAACCTATTTTTGAACGCGGGTATTACATCTCGACGTACGAAAGGCCGTTCACTTTCCGAACAAAGCACCAATGATTCTGTCGAAGCATAACAGACATATTGCCTGGAACTGCGAGACCGGCAGTGCCTTGTCAGACTGCAAGCAGACAAAATAAATAATACAAAGAAAAAGAAAGTAAATACACTGCGGTCCACTTGATACTCTACATGTTGTGTTTTAAAAACAATCAATGAATATCTTCACTTGCGTCAAAATTCCGCACTGTCGCGAAGTTACTTGACGAAACGGAAGGCACAACATCGCACACGTTTCAATCAGCTGCTCGACACGGGCGGACAAAAGGGACGCACTTCCGCCGCCTCCTCGCGCTGGCCCCCAACACACTACACTGCCGCCAGGTTCAGCGCATCTCGGCAACAACACACATCTGCGCAGTCAGCCAGCTCGCTTGTGAACGCTTGTGAATGTCCTTGGCGGCTGGGGCATGGCGCACGCGCAGTCCGTGTTCTTCCCATCCTCCTCTGAGTTCCGAACAGGTTCTACAGACATGTCGGTTACTTATTTAATGACGCTGTCACTGTCCACACTGTCACTGTCGATTAAGAAATGCATTGCAAAGGATTTAGTAGGAAGCCGTCGTGAGCTAGCAGAGTTATTACCCTGGAATTTGCCTAGGACTGAGGAAAACCACGGAAACCTCGGGGCGGCTGGTGTTCCGGTCGATATTGGAGCCGAGCACCTCCAGAATGACTAGGGCGTTACCGCTACGCTAACTGCATGGAGCCGTGTTTTACAGGCGTAAGAGGCACCCCCATTTACGGAAATGAAAAGAAAGCATAGTTTTCAGTTCGGTGTTTCTGTGCTCTGAAATCGAGCTGTGGCGGTCAAGTGAAAGTGTCTGGCGGGAAGCGCGTACAGCCTCAATATCCCTTCCGAATACAGCGGTAACTAACTGCATGCACAGCCTGCTTTAACATACATTCTGCATTCCGCCCACACAGTGTGAGTGCCCCCCTCTACTCAGCTGTCCGTCCGCATGGGTTCGGGTTGAGGCAGGGCCCTTACTTGAACTGCCACAGCGAGGAGCTCCTGTAGTAAGAACAACAAAACCTCTCCATGTTTTATCTTGTTTTTATAATTTGGGAATGTGATGCAGCACATAGCTCATAATAAATTCGGCCTCGAGAGACTCCTTCCAAATCCATTTCCATTCGCCGCTCACCATAATGCTACATTTAAAATGGAGTTGAAATTAACTACATAGAGGTGAGTCCTTTAAAAGCTACCAGTCGCTTAGCTGCTGAAGAATTTCCCAACATTTTATGTAAGCCGAAGGTTCATTAACCACGTTCACAAGAACTCGACACTGGTCCTTATCCCGAGCCAGATGAATCCAGTCCATACCACCTGAGCCTGTCTCTTTCCGATCCACTGCAATTAAACAGCGTCCTCAAATAAACACAAAACGACACGACCGGACTGAGGATGAGTGAGTGCTGCTGTTCCACATTTAACGGCGCACTCAGAAGCTGACGTCCTGCGATAGGACGACAGACGAATTGGAGAGAATTTGGGAGGAAGCGGTCCTCGCCTTCTCCGGAGGTGTGCCGGGTTGGATTCGAACAGGACACATCGCTAATAAAGTCTAGAGCGTTAACGCTACAGGCCTGCCTTTACATTCAAACCTGCATCCTGCTAGGATAAGACCGATAACATCACTCCTTCCATCCTTTCGCTCTCACACGCGCTCTACGGGAGTTTCGACGACACATCGGTGAACGGGTCGCTAGTTACCCGCAATCTAGCGGCAGAGATTTGTATTATGTTAACCAGATTCGGTTGCTGAGTCGAATTGTTCGGTGTAACTCCACAGCAGCTGCGTCAAGTGGACTCTGTACTGAAAACCGCCAGTCATCTATCAGAACACACTTCTTTTTTTTCTGTGGCGCTACAGCCCCAATTTGGGCCTAGGCCTACCTCCATGAAACTCTCCTTTCACTCCGGTTTACTAGATCTAACACATTCGGTAGGACTCCTTGGGCGAGTGATCAGCTCGTCGCAAGGCCTCTACCTGCAGACAAACACAGAAAAAACGCACACAAACATCCATGCCCTGAGTGGCATTCGAACCCACGATCCCGGCTTCCGAGCGAGCGAAGACAGTGCATGCCTCAGACCGCTCGGCTACCGTGACCGGCATCAGAACACACATAGCACAATTTAATTATGGGGTTGAGGGGCGTAAACTGTTGAATTCAATAATTTTACGTCCTTGTGATAAACGTGGAATGGAACTGATGTGGTTTTCGAGCTTTTGGGAAGAATTTATTGACCCTTTGGGTCCCATACAGCGCGGAGAATTTGCTGACGACTATCAGTTTCGCAGCAAATTAGTAACGGTTTGTGTTACGTTAATTCAACGAAAGTGAGTAAACGTTACCGTGCGTTTTCGTTAAAATGGTCGGAGCTGCTAGGCTTCCTGGAGAGCCGTCATAAATCGAACCCATATTTACCCCAAGCGCAATATTGTTCTACAAACCATTCCATGCCCTATAACTACTAAAACCGACAAAGAAAATACAGGAAAGCTAAGTAAAGCAGTAATTACACACCCTTACAGATATTTATTGACAAATGAAAACATGAACTCAATACAAAAATCAGCTAAACAAAACACATTTCAAAAATTAATATCACAAATTTGAGTTCTTTCCTATTACATGATTTGCATTTGTAGGGAGGGCAGGTTATTGGACTGCACCCCGGTCACCTGGGCAGCCGTAAAGTGCGAGCCACTGACGTTTTATTCTTGGTGGTGGAGTCAGGGGAGACATGGTTTAAAAAGGGAGGCTGCAAATACGGGTCGAGGAGGGGGGCCCTGGAAATATCTTGCTGAAAATGAAGCGCCCTGAAAAAAACCAGACGGTGTCCACGCTCATCTACCCTCATTTCCAGCCCTGATCACCGTATGTGTTGGGTATTCCCGGGGCTGCTCTACTAAACCAGTTCTGAAAAAGCCATTTCTGCTCGAGGTTGAAGCAGTCTGACAGGCTGGAGAACTTCACACATAACCGACATACCCTGTGTACACTCAGTCACATTTCATTTCATGCACGTTCCGTGAATCTTGAGGAGACTGACACCACTCCTTCTTGAGGCAATAGTTTCTCAGTTAGTATACAAATCACCTGCATTTTATGGAACCCCATGGTTCATTACCTTGTTCACAGCAGCCCGTCTTATTTACTCATACTTCCAAAGAGGAGAATCTTTCTCGAGAAGCTTGTAGCTGCTCAGCTATCAACAAATTCAGAAGGTTCATAAACGTGTTTACAAGAGCCTGCCACTTGTCTCTATGGTCAGCCAAATGAATATAGTCCACACACTCCCACCATAATTTCAGACTCATTTCAAAGTGTACAATCACCTCCCTCAGTCAATAAAGACCTTAGCTAATAAAGTTAAAAGTTTTAAATCTACACTGAAGAGGTTCTTATGTCAACATTCTTTTTACTCACTGAATGAATATTATCAGTATACTGAAGACAAGGATATATAGTCCATCTGCTATTTAAATGGTTAATTTAACTTCCATTTTGTATAAGAATTTTTTTAACAACTAATACTAAATACAAGGTATTAACAATAATATTTTATGAATTGTATATTTTAGACTGCTATCAAATTATATATATTATGATTTAGTTTTTACAGCACGATCGTGACAATGATAACTATTTACCCGCATTGGTTATTGCAGTACATATAGTAATCTGACATGTTCTACATCCTAGCCACATTGTGACCAGAGAGGATTCATGGAATTTTAAAATAAATGAATGAATGAANATCACCCACCCATCTACAATTAGGTCTTTCAAGTAATTTCCTTCCTTAGCCCTTCACAACCATCATTTCCTATGCAATTATCTTCTTCCCATGCGTGCTACACGCCCCTCCCATTCCATCTTTCGTGATTTGACGAGCTTAATAATATTTGGCAAAGAGAACAAATTATGAAGGCGCTCTTTATGGTGAGTAATTCAGATGGCCACAGGCAACGAGTATACTCGGTAGTGTCCATGAAGCGGTTACGCGCCGTTCTATAATTCGCCACAACACATGAATATCACTCGCCGGTGTTCTCTTCTGGTACATGTTTACAGCTGATTCGGAGGAATGTGTCGCCACCATCTTCAGGGTATAAGTCTGGCTATTGTAACTGAATCATCTGTGGTATTTGTCGACCCGTCGAGATATGCGGTGCTCTGGTACCCTAAAACAGATGACAACACTTACTTCGAAACCATTCTCCAATTAATGATAATTCAGAGATCACCACGTAACATTCGATAAGCCAAGAATAACCAAACCTGAAATTTCGCACGGCTTCGGTGACGACGCAACTTCAAGCTGTGTCCAGTTCACACTTTGCACCGCTGCTGGTGATCTGTCTAGAGCATAATCACACTGCAGAAGGCGACTNGAACGTTCGTCTCTCAACTACACGGCGTTACAACCCAGAAAATCTTACTCTACATGTAGTAATTTGTAAACACTTCTTCAAGGGTACGTCACCCCTCGAGTAGGAACCCTTACGAAAGAAACGCCCTGTGTGTTTAGTGAGAGCTCGGTATGGAATTCAGGAGATCCCATCTCACGTTAAGAACAAGATCTAGTAACTTTGTAACGTAACGATCTCCAGATCACTGGGCGCTACATTCACTGCGAGGCTACAGCTCATTTGCCTGGAAAGTTTGAATAAAACCACGAAAATCAGCATACGAGATATCTGGGCTGAGATCCGAACCCAGAACCTTCCGAATGCGAGTCTAAAGCGTTACCGCTATGCCAATCTGCTCGGTACCTTCCTGCTGTTAATTTAGGTATAATACAGTAAATTATTTTCAATTTTAATTTTTCGCCTTCTTATTTCATAGGCTGCCGAAGTCCTATGGATTATGCAGGGCACAATGTTGCATTCGTGGCTCCTGTTTAAGGCCAAGAGGATTTCAGAGACGACTACGTTGTCAAAACACGGCTCCAGATGACTTCATAGGGTTGCAATGTGCAAATGGAACCTAATTCTGTGTTTCCTAGCGAATTTGGTTTCACCACAGCGCAGAATATTTCGAGGCGAAACCGTCATGTAAATGCAATGGCCAGGAAGTCACAAACACCGCACTGGTAAAGAAAGAAAGAAAAATTTCAGGCTGACAAAACTGCATCTCGGCTTGTAATATTAGAATTTGGTTATGATCAAGCAGCCTTCGAGTTCCGTGACAGGGAACTCTTTAAGCGCTGACAGAAGCCACGGATGGGACACCCTGTTACCACAGAATTATTTCGAATTATCACTTCAATATGCATATTTATCCCGTTTGGCCAAAGAACGATGCACTAATTCCCACACAA